TATTCAATATTATTACAATGTTATTAAATAACTTTATGGTGACAATTAAGTAAACACACATTGACACAGAAGTAACTGTGAATACAAGTAAATTTACATATCTTAGAAAGACGGTACGGTTATTTTTTTTTTAATTATTCTTAGATTAAATATTTGGATCGAGTTTTTGTACATAATCGCATTATTAATCTAAAGGACAAAGCAGGCTTTATGTTTAACAGGCTGTGACATCAGCTTATTAAACGTAACCTTTTTATAAAATGCTTTAAATAAAAAAGCAACTTATGAATAAAGACTACCTTATTTTTACAACCATAAACATATAAGGCATGTTGCCTTTAACAAAGTGATCACATATAGATATAATAAATTAAGCCTATGTTTAGGTAGTTCTTTATCATTGAAATTTTTTATACTTATTTTAAAACACAAATAGTCAAGAGATTACAAAATTCTACATAAAAAGTTATCGATATAGGTTAGTTCCTAATAATTCGTATTGAATTACATGTGTATTTACTCAATCTAAACGCTACATTGCTTCTAAAGATTCCAAGAAATACTAAACACAGCGTGTGATTGTATGATATTCTAAACCCATTCACAACTAACGCCCATCCGCCCCGTTTTAGGCAGGACAGTCCTGCTTTCAGGCTATCTGCCATGCTGTTATCAGTCAGAGTAAAAATGTTGCACTTTAGCAAACAAACTTCGGTGTAGGGTTGCCAACATTAAAATAGCCTCGTACGAAAATCAGAAAGAGTCTCGTTCATTAGCTCAATTTGGCACTTTAATCTCTTACATTATACGCTTTCGGACTATACAAAAGCAATAACATGAAAATAACAAATTCAAGTAAATTAATGAATTTATATCAAAGTATAATAATTGACGAGGTTGAAGATCTCGCGGTTTAGCACATCGCCTTACTTCTAATGTTCGCGGATACGATTCAAAACAAATGTGTATTAATTAGATTGATTGTATTAATTTTATTATTAACGGTATAGGCTGGCGGAGCATGGATGAAGGATGATTAGGATGAGTATCAGCAATTAACTTGATTGAGACATTGCTAGCAGTGAGGTCATTGGATGGTAAAGTGATATTTACTTAAGTAACAGTCTCAGTTATTTAGTATCCATAGTACAAGCTCAATAAGTACAATAAGTTTATGACAAAATGTCAGTATGTGTATTGTTCTACATTATTATTACCACAGTTAAGTAATGTTATCACGAAAAAAATGGGTACATTATTCATAACTCCAAACAAGTTCTAATATCGCACTGTGATTACTATGAGGTATTTACAAGTACTGTTATAGTTCTTTGTACCTATTTATGTTTAATATTTAAACATCCCGTGTGTGAATAGCTTCTTGGAAGAGCTCTTTAACCTTTGCTCGTACAACAGTCCGCATAAATGTTTGATCAATTGTACGCTCAAGAATGCTAAGCATGTATATAATGTTTTAGTGACTTCCCTTGTCTTATGATTCATATAACGTATGAATTATAGTTTTTTTATGGTGATAATGGTGCACCCGCCTACACTAACGGTAAATGCTAGCCAGACAAGTCAGAAGACACTGTACTAGTTCTGGAATAACAACCCTGGACAAACACACAGCGCCATCTAGCATCAAACCAAGCAGAGCTTATGATATATACTAAACAACTGATATAATCAAGTATTTTTAGTAAATACATACATAATATACATATAAAAATCCAAACCAATACACACAACAGTCATACTCAATGCAAATACCAATGTTTGCACCGTGATGGGAATCGCCCCGCGACCATCGAAAGTAAGGCGGTGTGCTAAACCGCTAGACCACCAAGGCCGTCGTAAATTTTAGGCCCTTAGCCCGCTAGATCTATTACACCCAACGTGTTACAAATCCTATTATGTTACGTATAGACCGGCGTTGTTGACCCTTGACTCGGTTAGTGATAAAAAATATTAAACATGACTCAATAATGTCATCGTCACCAATCAAATTGAAACAAAGATAGTATTTAAGCTTCGATAAACAAAACTACGATAATCTAGCCCGGTGTGGCGTGTTTTGCATAACTTGCATGTAGGTACTATGTACTTATATTATGATTAAAAATTAATAGTACAGATTAATTAATTAATTCAAAATATTAATCTAATTATTTATAATATCTGAAAATACCAGTCGGCCTTGAAGGAAACATTGTTATTAACACATTTCAACATAAGCCGGAATTAGTCGATTACGAACATCTGAGAGGATCGAATAAAAATAAAAAAGTAAGAAGTGACAAGGAAGCAATAACACGAGGGATGAAGTGACGCGATGTGGTGTGTTAAGAACAAGGGTTGGCCGCCATCTTTACAAATTAGACTACGGGTGAAACCACGGGCACAGTTAATATTAACTTAATAATAAAGTAGCAACTTCAACAAAACATTTGCAATTCAAAATGCTACCTTAACGCGTGTCGTCAAATGTTCATTTGGAGGCAGATAAACAAAAATATACAAAGTCCAATAATGAATATTTTAAATGAAGCAATACAATCAACAATAACCGTACCTACTACTATTATTTGGCATGAAGAGAAACAACGCTTGTGTTTTATGACGCCATAAATTCCTTTGTATCCATCTAGCAGAGATCCTGATATAACCGTAACCCTGCCAACTGAGGCTATTCTTCATCAGGCGTTATCGACTTAACGGGATCGAACTGTGGTTTATAGTACTATGAATGAACTTTTATTAAGATAATTATTTCGTATATTATATGTTACATGATTCATAATTAGTATGCCTACTTTTGGCAGAATTATAGGACAAGTACTTACAATAAGTTCGTGGATATTTCCAAAAAAATATTATCATTAAGATTTTATTTTATTACATAGACATATAATACGTTTTCTTATTCCATTTAAGTATTTTCAACATTGATAAGAATGAATTGATCAACACTTGACGATGATATTGTTAATACAATATCTCTGAGATTAAGTACAATCGTGACTATGTACTATATAATTGTTTCTAAATATCAAAACTGCTTACCAGTACAGGCATTCAAGTTCATCTAATTGAAATTATTTCCACTGCCATTTTTTCTTCGAAAACTATATTTGTTTACTTAAATTTTAATTAATTTTTACCCAAGTATAACGTTGATCTCTGCTTTATATGAACTGTATATTTCTTTGAGATCAATAATAATTGTAATTCATTCATCTCTAAATTAAGTATGTCTACGTATATAGAAAATATAATCTACTCGCATTTGTATATTTGCTTTTTAAGAATAATTCCTAATACAAACTATCATCCAGTGTTGTAACACTTCAAGTTTCATTTTCACTATTAAAAAAAGCCTACATACACTATGCCTAAATTGATCCAGTAATTTAGTAACAGACAGATGTACAGTCGCGCTTTGACATCCATAATATGTATTTGTATTGTTCTATGTACTCGGAATGGCAAGCAAGGCTCTTCTGACAGTAAGTGAAAAGCTTTGCCTGGTAAGTGCGAAGCATCATCTACATGTACATGAACAATACATGACACATCAAGAGTCATATGACAACCGGGGTACTTTTCATGTGTTGCCATTCCGGAGAACTACGATGTCCTGCCTTATATGCATTGTATGTGTTAGTCAGGGCATAACAATTACTCAAAATTGCCAAAAAATAATAAATTCCAAATTACATATGTATACGTGTACAGTACAGTAAAGAGAAAATAGCGTCACTTATCAGTGCGAGCCTAAACCGGGCACTTCTGTTCAAACATGGCCCACAATTGAGATCATCCGAGCGTACATTTTGCAGAATCGGATATATTTACCGTATTGCAATTTGTTAAACTAAGCTAGCTAATCTTCTAAGAAATACTATGTACATAAACCAAATTAAACATCGCTTTAATTATCTACAGATGTTTTATCTTTATAAAAAATAGAGTTACCAAACAGTTTACCGTAAGGTAGGTACGATAATAACTACATTCCTTTTATAAATGTGTAAAATATATCATATACATAAAGTATAATAAATAAATATATATATAAAGTATATAATATAATTCAATAATTAGTAATTAGTTATTTTTTTAATGAATGTGTGATTCAATTAATTTTTTTTGTTATTAAATAAATTAGTCACATGTTAAAATGTTAGATATTAGTATAAAAACTCGTGGTGGCTCACTAGTAATTTTAATAAGTATGTTTTCCGTTTGCTTTATGTTTTGTGAGCTTTAGTGCTATTATACAGGATAATGATGTTTATTCTAGATTATATTTACTCAAATAGACATGTATTTACTCATAACCTATTTTGTTTGCAAAAAAAATAAAGAAACTGATGTGAAATTCAAACGATAAATTATGGATAATTTTATATTGCGGGTAGGAAGGTGATTTCTAGGAAACGATGGTAAGAAAAAAAAGAAAATAGTAGGTATGAGATCAACACGGAAATAAACCATATCAGTTGCAAAAAAACATTATCATAATCCATTGAGTTTTGGCCAAGATATCATGAAGCATGTACGCAATATATTAGTATAGGTGCCGTGTCGAATTGAAAAAAATGGATTCGTATTCGAATCCGTATCATATGTATCCATGAATACTAAAATGGTAGTTAAAAATAAGTAGGTATTTGTATAACAGAATACAATAATTTTTTTAATAATGAATAACTGTATAAACTACCGTAATAATTTAAGAAAATGACGTAAAATTTATTTTAAATAGTATTTATATTAAAATTTAGAATTTTATTAATTTTAAAGATAAGAATTTCGGATAAGTAATTACAAACAAGTTATCAGTTTAAATTAAAAAAAACCGCAAGTTAAATACTAATTCACATCGCTGCGGTAGGTAGCAAACATACAAAACAGATTACAAGAAATATGGGTCAAGTATTACTACGACAGATCGCGACCTTCATAGTAGTTTTTAATTTAATTCAAATACTCACATGTGAAATAAACGAAAACTCGAAAATCCACTCTCGATGTCAAATTCAAACTTCACAACTTGTTAAACCACAAGGATAAACACAAATCACAAATATCAAGAAACATCTACAATGACATTGGCCATTTTTTTCACTTTAAACCACAATTCAAAGTTTTTTTTCTTAACGTTTAACAGAATGGCGGGAAAGTCACGAAACTATCGAACGTTAAAATACTTGCGACACACCTACAACGTACGGCGACCGCACGGAGACTGAATCAAAAATTGTTGTTCTCGACTTCTCGTCGTAATCGTCGTACCCAATATCCTATCCAGCTAGTCACAAACCAAAGAAAATCAAACGTAGATTACTCAGAAATCTTATTTTTTATCACGTCGTAATACAGTTATGTGAAATACATACAAGAAAAATATTTCTTAGGTTATCTATACTCCATTCTAATAGAACTTTTATAAGGCAAATAAAGGTTACTAACCCGATCCTAAGGCTTCAAATGATGACCAAAAGCTTTCAAAAATCAACAATTTGTATTTCTAGTTCTAATAATTTACATTATGTTTATGTTACAGGTATCTACGTTATATGACTGTAAAAATCATTAAGTTAGACAGATCTTGTTTTTGAATTAATACTATTTTAAGTTATTTATAAAATCGTCATTTTTTAAAGAATATACTATATTACGACTATATAAACCAATAAAGATCCGCTGCTTTTTTAGTTTTTTTGCTTATCAGTTATATATTTATTCTATATATATCAATATAAATTGAATAGGTACATTGCGATTATTTATTCAATTATTTTGGTTTGTATTGAATGCGTGACTGATTTTTTTATCGTTCATCTAATCCCTGCACGACCATAGACAAGTTCGGGCCTCCATCGTTTACATCGGTCATGTCCTTGAGGAATGGTCGGTGATAAAGATTGCTATAGAGTTAGCATGGCGGAAAAGAATAAACGCGCTCTGCTCAACATGTGACTTGGTATGTAAACAATACACCGGTAACAAACTTAGTAAAATTTTGGCATACCTGGTATTTTTCAAATACAATTTAGAAAATGTATTAAAAAAATACTGTACTGAAAAATGGTGATGTTACAAAATATGCAGTTATGCAAAAATAATTATAAATATGTTATTTTTTTCATTTAGTGAATGATTTCAGTAAGTTCTATTGAAACGGACTAGGTATACCTATACTGCGAGCTAAAAATTGTGTGCCGCCATCCGTTGAGCCGCCAGTAGGTATATTAGGCATTCTTGAGGTTATTGCTACACGGGCCCATTTTTTCTAACTGTATTTAATTTGATAATTGTTTCTTTTGTTCTTGAAATTTTTGAAGGGAAGCACTGTAATTATCAATATTTTCTTATCATCATCATTGTCATCCTATTATTTAGATTTTGTAATAAAATTAAATGTATATACATACACCACTTCTATAATTCCTCCACTTATTTCATATAAACCACGAAACAGATTTGAATGCGTATTCACTATCATTTCGAGAATTTCTTCCAGAAGATTCATATTTGTATCTAATAAGTACATCCATATACTGTATACCGGTCCTCTTCGTCATCGACCTGCATCACATAATTACACTATACACTCGTATGAAGCTGCGATGGGTCGATAATAATTTAAATTTAAATTTCATTTGTCTAACCTACCAATTGTACAGCAAATCACATTACGTTTATGTCTTCGACATTCGATTAACGAAGTTTTAGCAAATATTTCCAAAGGTTAATAATCTCACACAACGAAGTCACGGGATCAAGCTAGTTTTTTTTTATTGCGATTTTCCTCGCCCTCCGGTACGAATAGTTTCTTGCCAAAAATATTATTATAGCAAAGTTTCAATAGCCAAGATCTTTATTCACAACTTCGTTAATTTGCATAAATATTTCCCAAGTTTCTCCTCGAGTGTAAACATGGCGTTCAATAAAATAATTATATATACCCCCAAGATATAGATATAGGCATGCCCACGCTATTTGATTTACAAATAGGTAAATGCAGTTTTACACTCAAGCACAACAAATTGTTTCCAGTCGGTTGATTTAATTCATTATAGTTTCTATGTATCTGCTAAAGCAGATTTTAACAAAAGGAACAAAAAACGGTAAAAGCTAACATGGAATAGTGGAATGAAATTAAATAATTACGTCTACTATTGAATTGAAATAGGTATTCCATCTCAACATCGATCCCATTTTTAAACCATTCAGTTCAGTTCGTTTTACTACAACATAAGAATGCAGAATTTTACGAATCGTCGAAATTACATAATATTTTAAGTACCTTTATTTTACCTCTAATAGAGGCAAATTTATATATGATTTTTTTTTAAAGACGATCGTTTACCTACTCTAGAATAGAATAGAAAATCATTTATTCAAATAAACTTAATTTAAGCACTTTTGAATAGTCAACATTTTTTTAAATCTACCGCTTATTCGGAAAGCTGTCTCATCACAAGAAGAATAAGCAAGAAACTTGTGTGTTGTTCTTTTAAACAATCCTTGTAAGTTCACATTTTACAAGTCGAAACGTGTGAACACAAACTACCAACCAGCACTAATTTATTAAGGCTCAAATATAAAAACACAATAAGATTAAATCAGTCGTAGTGATAAGAGCAGACCAGTCCCTACAAGCAGCACTCGTTCACGAGTATGACGGATGAGCCAGCCATCACTGCGCTCGACCATATTTTAGGGAGCCCAATGACCCGGCCCACCACGCCGCAACATGTCTGGACATTTAAGTGAGCATGACTACTCATTCCACTCGACCACGTCACAGCTACAAAAAATTACTATATGGTAGTTACAGTATTCGCACTTTACATGAGGATGCATGCGGCAATCAATACAAAAGCCGCTACGCTATTATATATCAAGAAAGCAGTATGAAAAATAAATTATAACGTTGTCCGCAAATAAACTTATACTTGCTATATATTGCTATCATCTATAAATTCATCTATCCTATAATAGGCTTTTTTACATAACATTTGTTTAATATAAAGTTTGAAGTTTGAAGTTCTAATTGCACAGATATGATTATATTACTAATAGTGTATAGAGCACCAGAGAAAGATAAAATTATAAGGTTGAAATTAAATCAATTATTGAATCAATCAATATTGTAAAACAATATGATGCCCGATAATAATTAAGAAGAGGGCAATAGTAATAACTGTTTTTAACCTAAATATATTATATTTTTTCATTTAAAATCTAGCCTACGAACCTAATTTTGTAAAAAATTTCATTTCACGAGTATCTGTTAATACAAACTACCAAATAGCAAAAATTCGTAAGTTTATGTTGTTATTTAAGTAACTTACTTTTTTTAAGTAACTTACGTTATTTAAGTTACTTATTTATTGTTATTTAAGTAATTTACTTAAATAACAATAAATAAATCATAAGTATTGCAGCAGGCCAATTCCTATAAGAAACTCCCATACACGAGTATAAGGGATGACGAGAAGGATATGAATGATGGGTATGAAGCCTTAGATAAAACATTGCAACCACCATCATCAACCAAATTCTGTTGATGATTAATAATTTAATATCGGATCATGCAAATATAAAACACACCTTTAAAGACAACACCTTGTTTAGAAAAAAAGGTAACATTGTTATTACAGTTGATTATTAAAACGTCTGCAAAATACATATGAGAAGTAAAGTCTTCAAGCTGTCTAGAAATACAACACTGATTTACAGAGTTTATTATAATCTAAGCGCACATTCGTTGGAGAATTTATATTATGAATTATTTTAAATAATACCTAAGCTATGGCTGGATCTTCAATTTAATAACTTGGAAAATGAACTTCATATGTCTTATTTGAGTTACGTGAATATACATGTACATTATATCTGAATTGTAATGATTAAATAAAACATTGTTTCATAAAACAATTCCCGAGACTTTAGTTTGCTAACGTACAATGCTTTGCGATGAATGTCAAAGTGTAGAAATTGATGACCATGTGTTGGTCACATCCATAGGCGAGGGTCACTACTTTCCATCATGTGTACCCTTACCGTAGTATGCCGTGCCGTAGTTTCTAATTTATATAATTATAGGAAATACAAATGCATACTTTCATATCATTTTTTTACTACGATGGTGGCAAACACACATCGTCCCATTTGATGGTAAATGGTTACCGTAGCCTATGGACACCTGAGACACCAGGGGTGTCACGTGCGCGTTCCGATCCTTAAGTAACTTTAATATACCAATCTTAAAAACCCCATGCTGTAGTCTCGTAAGAAAACCTCGGCAGGTGTTCATTTTGCAATATAATTGTACTCGGGAGAAAGCTTCTCTGAAACCGCACTGTCCGAGACCACTTAGGTTTTAGAGTATGCGGATGACTTCCCTGTCGATGGCGAGCGGTACGATGGTAAAAGGTAATTTTTATAATACATATCTTCCTTATCAGGTATGTAAAACCTACTGATCATGACTTACAGTACTGAAACAGAGGTGACAGTTACAGTCACCCATTATTTAAGTAAGTTAAAGATTCTGATGAATATCGTAGTGTGTCAATATCTATAAAAACAAAGCGTGTCTTTACCGAACTACTACTGTACTTTGATGTAACAAATGTTACATATTGACAGCAAACTCCCTCCTACACAAAAATACCATCTGTGATCTAATTTTATCGATATAAACATAACTCAACTAGCATGTGACGTCTGTGGACTCTAAGAAAACGTCTTTTTCAGATATTATAGAGTAGGTGAATAAAAATAGGGGGTCACAATGACGAATAATTGATGCCTGTTTTGTCTGGGAACTCAAAATCAAACTTATGTGAGAGTAATCTAAGCTCTATAATAACTATCTTAAGGTAATATTCTTAATAAGATGAGTAGTCAGAGGCATTGTCGATCATTGACGTAGTGGTGGAAGCAACACTTGATAAGCGTGGTTTTAACAAATTTTGTTAAATACAGGTATTTACATCCCCGCTGTATCAGTAAGAGTATAATGGAACAGAATTTTTTTATATAGTATCGATCAAGTTTAAACTCAAGACCCTCTGATCCTAGTTGGGGTAGTAAAGCTCTAAGCCACGACGCTGTAAGGTAAATACTTACAATAAAACACAGTAGATACCCAAAGTACCTAATAATTGCTATGTCGCCGGGATAAACGATAGATGCCTCATTAAGATGTGAATGTAG